CTTTTTGCTATTTTAGCATAGAGAATGTCAATTCATCTACAGCAACCAAGGACATTTTCAGAAGTACAGATCTCTTCTAGAGATGGCACGGGTTTTAAAGTTTCCAAAAAAATTTCATGCAGATACATTCAGTTCGTAAAGGGATACTTCAGGCCAGTCCTCACCAAGGAGGCTGAAGATATAATCTCACGCTATTACCAACTTCAGAGAAGATCTACAGTACACAATGCAGGTTCTTCCTTAAAAACTTCTCTTTGTTAACATTATGCTTGGAATGAGAGAAGTGAGGAGAAAAGAAAGAAAGTAAGGAATGACTACCATTCTCTCTTATTTGGGCAAAAAATAATGTTTAGTTAAGGAGAGAGAGAATTGCAACTCTGAAACTATTCCTTGCTTTCCCTTCAAAGTCAAATTGTTTCATTTCCCAAAAGTGGGTGAAAAGAAAGAAGGAAAAAAGTTCATATTTTTATTGGTGAATTTTTATTTTGTCTTGATTTTCTAACTTATTGTTCTATTAATAAAGGGTGTAATTAACACATTTCTTATTGTTAATTCTTTTATTTTTTTTCACTTATGAACCTAAACCAAACAAAATATTATATTAATAATTTGTTTTGCCTTAATGTTTTAAAAGATAGGTGTCTCATTTCCTTTTAAAAACCATATTCCATTGTGTACCTTCATGACTGTTTCTTAACAAAAACAAAAAATCGTTTATGGAGGATACATCTGTTAATGCAGCAAGGACGACTGTGCGCATGTTGGAAAGTCTGATCCGTCTAGCTCAAGGTATGATACACTTTTACATTCGTTATTCTCTTTATTTATCATGATTTTAATAATCTGAGTGTTGCAGCACATGCAAGACTTATGTTCAGAAACAAGGTGACGCGCTTAGATGCTATAACAGCAATTTTATGCATCGAATCATCCATGACCATTTCTGCCATTGTGGACAATGCCGGGAATGCTCTGCACTCAAATTTCACTGAAAGCCCTGATCAGGAATGTATCCTAGCTAGCAATTTGTGCGTGCATAATAGTCTAAAAGTTGAATATGACTCTGATGCATGACTGGAATTTTTCATGCAAAATGCATTAGAATTTGTTCATTTTAGTATGAATTTTGTGGTCTGATCACTCTTCTGAAGCATATTGTAATCATCTTCCCCCCAAAAACAATCCACTGAAGCTTTTTAACTGCTACTATATCAGTATTAAGAACCACCTACAAATAATGGAACTAATCCATAATCGATGTCTCTACGTATGTGCCATGTCAAAAACAGCTCATAGGAGATAAAAACAAAAACAAAACAAAACCTCAGATGTGGGCACCTACACGCATACGAGTATTGCAATCTTGGGATAGGAAAGGAATGAGGAGGTCTGATTGCTGAGTAACTTTATCATAAATCTCAGATGGTAAATTGCTCGTATCTACTACAATTGTTTGTGCCATTTACGTGGGATGGGCATTCCGAGTGTAATTTTAGTTGTTTTAACTGGCATGATTTGAGATGAAAATCTTTCATCTCTTCCATTTTTATTGCTAATTTGATGGCATTCGTAAGTTCTGTCAAATTCTAGAAATGATTTCTTATTCTCTGTTGAATTGACTTCTTATTCACTGGATGATCTTCAATAGATAATTTTTGAGTTCTTAACTAAAGATACCAATAGATGGTGAGCAAGAAAAGATAATCCTTGAAAAGTTGAGATCAAGTGATGAATATCCAGAGATCGACATGGAAGAATCATGAAGATGAATATTTACCAAAAGCGAAACAACGCCAGTTTTATGTATCACAATGGCAAATATGTATGATTTTTATTATTAATATTCTTAATGCATAAATGTTGTCAAGAATTTGTGGCAGGGACACTTTTGCAGACGTTCTATCTGCTAGATTGTCTATTTGTTGTTCGAAGCCTGTAAATAGAAATTGCATTGTTCAGATCTAGTGAGCATAAGAGTAGTTTGGAGCCTGCGAATCTTCAAATTTTCTAGTTAAAAGAGATGAAAATTTCTGCAATGCCATGCCATTAAAACACAAACTTATGTGGGAGGGAGACTGAAACTTCTTTGTGCCCAGAAAGTCAATCCGTAAATTTGGTAAATATGGATGTAGCATCTTCTGGCTATCAAGATTAACTACATAAGGCTCAAACTCTTCTAATTTCAAAAATAAATTTCAAGTAAAATTTTTCATCTTTGAAAACCCTCTTCCTCTTTAGTCCGTTCTCTCTCCCTTCTGACAGTTTCTCCTCCGATCAACATCCTCTTCTTCCTCAACATCTGATGCGTCATATTCAAGTAGCATAAAACTAATAAAATGTTGAAGAGAAATGAACAAAAAGGTGCCAAAAATTGTAAACTTTCTTCAAAGTACTTGTTAAGCTCAACTATTCCTTGAAACAGGACATATTTAACAGTCAACTCTTGCAAGGTTGACTGAAAATCAATAGAGACCCAAAAATTTCCACCATAAACCTCCAACAGTTGCCCAAATGATCACGTTGATCAGGGCCATTACAAAGCCGATCTTGAATACGTCAGGTAGGTCGACATAACCAGCTGAAACAAAAATAATAAGTACGTAAACAACCATTGTAACCCTTAAAGCAAAACAATATTCCAGTGATACTCAAAGGCATTTGAAAGAATATTCCATGTTCTTCTAATAGAAAATAGCAGTGCAACACAATAATTGAATAAAATCAGCTGCAACAAGTCATCACTAGGTTATTCATAACTAAGGGTGAAAGAGATGTACCACCGTAGTATACAGCAGCCTGACCACTGCTGTAATGAGTTATGGCACCAAAAAGATTTGTATTATAAGCTAAAGCAAGTGCTGACAAAACACCGGGTACCCCAGCTGCAATGTGCATTGCAAGGAACGCGGAGTATAAGGCTCCAACATGACCAGTTTGACTGGCAAATAGGTAGTGGACACAGAAATACGAGGCCTGAAGAACACCAAATGCAGCAGGCCAGCTCAATGCTAGAGACCGGAGGGTTACAGCCACACTATCTGACATCCAGGTTACAATACCAAGGTTTGTCAACTGCCCAGCCATGCCCACCAAAACTGCAAACCAAGCTAGAGTATCCCATGCTGATTTTTCACTCAAGCAATCGTCCCAATCAAGTACTCCCAACAAAAGGAGTATTGACAAACCAATCATTGCGGCTACAACACTTGGAATACCAAGGGCATCTCTGCATACAAATATTCAGAAACCTAGCAAATTAGTATGTATCTGAACCAAAAATGACAGCTATATGGAACCAATGCTTGTAAGAAATTCAACTATTCTTTTTACTCAGATAAGAAGACTTTTGTGATACAGCAAATAAATAATAAACCAAATGCGGATCCCTGGCCACTACCCAAACAGCATTAAGGATTTTTAAAGAACTAACATATCACTTACCCACAGACCCACAAAGAAACAGCCAGAAGCATAGTACCAACCATGATCCATTCATCTTTTGTAACAGGACCCATAGTCTCCAGCTTCTTTGTGGCCATGGCAGGGGCATCTGGTGTGTCTTTTATTTCAGGAGGATAAAGCTTATATAGGATGAGTGGAGTTGCTAGAAGAGAAGCAAATGCTGGTAAACTAGCAGCCTTGAACCAAGAAACCCAAGGGTTTGAAATTATCACTCCAAGCTCCTCAGCTAATTTGAGGCACAACATATTTTGAGCTGCAGCAGTCAGGAAAAGAGCACTGGAGTTGCCAGCAGACTGTCACACATCACATAAGAATAATACACACAACAAATAAGAATGACACAATGATGAAGATAACAGACTTCTCAAAATATATACATAAACTCAAAAACTCATGAAGGAAGCTCTATGCATATACTCCAAAATTCATGAAGGAAGCTGTATGCATCTACTCACAAATTCATGAAGGAAGTTATATACATATACTCACAAATTCATGATCTAATGCTCACATATACTTCTCTGGAAAGGACAGTATACAATGATCTAATGCTGAATAAATTGAAGATCATATAAGATAGTTGATCTATTTTCCCATGAAAACAAATGAAAAAGCCTCACGTTCTCTTGAAACCTACATGGGGAGGCAAAGACTTACATCTCTTGAAACCCACATGGGCACTATAAACTTTTCACGCTAACTTACAACTCTTGAGAATAGTTATTCAATGAGGACAATCAACTAAAGCAAGCCTCGCATGATAGGCCTCGAAGTCCATCAATCTCAGATTTAAGCAAAGCACGATGACCTAGTGACAGCCCGTTAATGGACAACAAGAGGAGGAGAAATAATATGAGGGTAAGACGGGCAAAGTTTGAACTCACACCTCTGTTTCTATTTACTAATACAACGTGAAATGACTCTAATAACACAGGAAATAATTGAATAAGTAATTATCTCAAAAATTTGAGCTGAATGAGAGAAGAAAAAAGAAAAGCTCAAATTATTATCCATTTTTACATAATTCTTAACACTATATTCCTGAAAATGGGTACTCTCACAAAACAGTTCCAATTAAACTTGAAGTCCCAAAATTGAAGATAAACAAAAAAAAAAAAAAATTAGTAACAGAGCCTTCAATAAAATACTAAAATGTTTAGGCAGAAAATTGCTTGTTTTTTGCGTCAGCAATTGAACCCACAACAGTAAATATCCTGTTAAAGTTTAATGTAATAATATTCAAATCTCGACTATTGCTATAGTTTATATAAAATCAAAAACTAAACTACTCCTTGAACATGTTCCATACTTGTTCACCCCGGTATAATCAATTCAATAAAACTTCTGAACAGCGCATCAGAGTCCAATCCCACCACAAAAACAAAAAGCTGGCCGTAATACTGATACTTGACATCAATGTAGCTCATCAGATAAAATATCTATCAACCTAGAAAAATAGAATTGAATGAACTAAATGGCAAGTAGAAAAAAAGAATACACTAACCTGAAACTGTGACTGAACAAGATAAGAGCCAAGCTTCCTAGAACTGGAATCTCCAGGCCTACTCCCCCCAGAGAGAGACAAGGACTTGATGATGGGCAAGAAAACCCCACCAGCTCTAGCAGTTGTGCTAGGCATGGCGGGTGCAATCAATGCCTCGCTGAGAGTCAACCCGTACGACAAACCCAGAGTGCTCTTCCCCAACCATTTCACGAAATAAGTAGCAATCCTATCCCCAAGTCCAGTCTTGACGAACCCACGAGCGAAAAAGAAAGAAATAACAATCAACCAAATAACCTCATTGGTAAAAGCCCCAAATGCAGCTGAAAATGGTAAAGTTTTAGTAACAACGGAGGTTGTGAGGCCGATAAAAGCCCAGGCACCTACGGGCAAAGGGCTCAAGACAAGACCCGCGATGGTAGAGAGAAAGATGGCGAGTAATTGCCAGGCCTGCGGGTTTATAGCCGCGGGTTTGGGGACAAAGAAACGAAAAGCGAGGCCTATAGATACGGATACCAAGAGAGGCCATAA